CCTGGTGCGAATGGGTTAAAAATAACACCATCTATATTTATAGCACTAGTAAGAATACGTTTTTCCCGCCAATTCAAGGAAAGGTGAAATCAGGACTAGTAGAGCCATCTATGTACAGAGATATTTCACAAAAATATAAAAAATGAATATAGCATTTTCCCCATTTTTTATTAATTTTCCCCGGCGGCAGTGGGTTAAAGCCTCAGACAGCCTAATGACATGCCATCAACTTGACAGGTGTTGAACGAGGCAGAACGCCAGCGTTTGGTGGAGAACATTGCTGGTCACATGATTGGAGCCCAAGAGTTCATCCAGGAACGAGCAATCAGAAACTTTGCCCAGGCTGATCCAGAGTACGGTGCCAACATCCGCCGTGCGCTTGACAAGATAAAGATGGCCCAGGCTTCAACTAAAACACAACACATTCAGGCCTTAGCTGCATCAAGCAATGGGGCCAAGTTATAGATGTGCAAGGTGTTGGCTGTAATGTGACTTGGCATCCAGATGGTAGATGTGACATTTTGGGTTGTAAAGTGATTGTGATATGGGGCTTCTTTTGTGAATCCTTTATTGAATATGATAGTTCATTTTGGAATAAAGGAGAAGCAGTTTAAATTTTTTGTTATGTATGAAGTTCAAATATATTTCCTTTTAATTACAAGATCGTTTTTATTCTTTAGCTGAGTTTATGCTAGCATATATAATTTCCTGAGTTTATACAATATATATATTTTTTCCTTTTCTGTCATTCATTCATTCATACAGTAGGAGTTTTCATTAGATTTCAGCGTCAAATTACCTTAGAGCAAAAAATTTGTTCTTCAGTGTTGATTTCTGTTACGGCCTGTCCACATGATTGAAACCGGCCCAACATGTGCAGTATGAGAACTATGGTGCTTAGTGATAAAAAGGTCTATGGTTGTGTATGACATTAAAGAAAAGGAATGATTAATATATATGATATATCTTTCTATTTAGTATGGTGAACTATCAAATTAGTTCCATAATGGAAAGACGCATGAGAAAAGCCATGTTTCTCCAGAAAGGGTCACATTTTCTGAGGACAAAAATGTTCCTTGAATTTCAATTTTTACATAACCTATTTAATTTAATTATGGTGATAACTACTATAGGCACTTTTTATCTTGGATTATATTAACAAATACATGCTAAATGGTCATACTACCATTCATCCAAGTGGTAACTCTATCAGCTGGCAGACTGCTTGCTTTTGGCCATGGGCACTGCTCGATTGCGTGTACAGGTCTTTAGGATGGGTTCTGAAGAGACATCATTACAGCAATTTCCTACATAAGAAAAGCAAGATAAATTGCTTTGAGTAAATTGTAACAATTTTAGATAACCACATTCTAATTTTAATGTTTCTTTGGGATGTCAGTTACTTAATCCTCTTGAGGAGATATTATGTTGTATTGGTAATCATGTTTGCTTAGCATTTAACCCTTAGCTGTACTGAATATTGTATATGAAAGTACATTTCTTTACATATTTGTCAATACCGAATGTGCTAATTTTCCCAGTTAGATGATAAGACAAATGCATATGAGATGCTCTTGCACTAGATTGAACTAATATTCAAGGACTTTTGATATTTAGTTAGTTCTGTGTGCTGTTTAGAAGAATTGTAATTTGCATTTATTTTACCTCTGAATATTGCATGAAAGTTCTTTTACTGGCATATACATTTTAATGCAGATATACTATAATGACCCAGTATTACAATATACCTAAAGCAACATGCAGAAGGATAGTGATCTGTTGAGGTAACTTCATTTTACATCAACACAGTGTAATGATAAACTTGCATTTATAGCTGAAGTCATATGACAGATAGTCAGAAGGTTAAAGTTTTCTTACCATTAAGGTTTAGTACTAAGAAATATTTTTATATGTTTTACAAAGGATTTTAATGTGAGAGATGTCAGGTCACCATGAAAAATTGTTCTCTTTAGTTGCAGGGATGCTAGCTGATGTTTAATACTTTATTATCATCATTATTTTTTGGGTAGAATCCACTTATAGTATGAACAGTATATATAATACTTGACCTTGTGATGTTATATGGTTGCTAAATTGTTTCGCATGATACCTGTGTATATTGACATTCATTGTAATATATATGATATAGAAGATATGGTCTTTTTCTTTAGTAACTCTGCACAGCATTAATAATCTCTCCAGATCTGATGATGCAAGAATTGATAAGAAGTTTTTCTGTTTATTCTGCATTTTTAACTTTTATTTTTCCCAATGTGTTAGTTAAGATTTATGTCATTCTTTATGACAATTAGTGAGGGTTAATAGAATAACTTGGAAAAAAGTCTCCCCACAGTTTTCTCCAATGATAATGATTTCTCCAATTTTGATTTGACAAATACATGGGCTAAAATTGTAAAAAAGTGGATAACAGAGATGGAGAAGGCGTAACAAAATATATTAATAGTAATCTCCCCCAAACAAGGAATTATGTTCACTACTGTTGTAAAAAAGTTTCACAAGCTTACAGTGAGAACAGATGTTTATTCTGGGATATATATACATTAGGTACCATGGACAACAACTATTTAGGTACGTATGTATACAGGTACTTATTTATATGTCCACTGAATATTTGTTTTTATAAAAAAAATTTACTATTAACAGTACAGAAGAAAATGCTCATTTGAGACTTACGCTAAACACTATGATGTGTGAATTTTTAGTTCTCCGCTGGTTAGATTGAAAACGCACAAGATATTAAGATTCATGTTGCCGGTTGTGTCTTGAATCTAACCTAAAGCTGAATGTGTATAAAGGTATTTTTGTCCGACTTTTAAATATTTTCTTTGGTGAGTGAATTCCTCAGTTATAGAAGAAGGAGGACTAAATGGTTAAGAAAAGTCATAGTATATTTAATAATTGTATTTTTAGTTCTCACAAATACACACAGAAGCATCATAGATCTTAAATAAAAGGTTTAATTGGCAAATTAAGACGTAATAAGGGAAAAGTTAAATATTCAAAGTAAAACTTGAACAAAAGTACACTCTGAAATGTATTTTTTAAAATATATACATTCCTAATTATAGTCTCACTATTAAGATGAACCAATCAGTAATTACTGTTACTTTATTTGATTATATCTATTTTTTTAAAGCTAGTGCTGGTAGAAGTTAGTGTTAACACCCTTTCCACAAAACTGCCAAATGATAAATGTAATTATCAAACCCATAGAATTAAGGCTTATTAATGTTCAAATTCAGATGTCATATAATTACCAACAGGCAAATTACTCCTGGTTAAGAATCAATGGTCTGGCGGGTGATCTCCGGATGTTAAGGTTGGCGGTCATCTTTTCACCATCCTGAGAAACAAAGATGATGCGATTATGCAACGGCAATAAGTATGAATCAAAATGTATTTCGATAACTCTGAACTGAGTAACACAATATTCCAATATAAAGTGAAATTTAGATGCATGTTTTTTTTTTTTTTTGTTTGTCTCATTTTATGTTTGTGTTTGAATTTAAATTTATTCTCACTCTTCTGGTGGGTTCTGTTTACTAATTGGGTATGCAGAGTGTTTAGTAAGTCACATAGGTTAGAGGATGGTGGCTTAAGTAAAGGACTATTTGTATTTAGGATGCTTAAAAGAGGATATAAAGAGCAGAAAAGGGAAGTTTTACAGATAAAATAATGTAGAACCTTTGCCTGGGTTCTGGTCCAATCTTCATGTCAGTCTTTCAAATTCCAGTGCTTACACAGCACACAAACACACTGCAAAGCGATCTAAATTCCCTGAAGAATTTCAGAGGAGATGAAAACATGCATTTTGTGAGCTGCCTGCCAGAAGCAGCAAGTCTTTCTGATACGTGATCCCATCAAAGCATGGGGCTGTGTTGGAACTGAATTTGTAGGCTTTTCTTAGTTCCCTCAGAGAAAAGATAACGTCTGAGTTACCGGGTTCAGCTGCCCTTTCTCTGATCTGAGCAAGTCTGTCTACTTTCAGGCTTTCTTGTTTGGCCCTCAGTTCGGCTGGCAGACTGTTGCTGCTTGTTCTCGCAGAGAACTCGTGCACCAGTCTGTTTGCCTCTGCTTGAGGGTCGTAGTGCGTTCGTCTTGGGGCTGAGCGGCTGGTAGCTTGCCTGTCCCGATGCCACAGCTCTGAGAAAGTGGTTTGGTGGTTGAAGGACTCACACCATTCCAGCCAGTTTTCCTGCCTGACTCTCTTGGCAGTTTCCTTGGCATCCCTGACAGCCTCCCTCAGCAGTGCAAGGTTGTTGGGGGTTCTTTGCCTTCGGAATAGTTTTTGGCACATGTTTACCCTGTGGTTGACCTCCCTGATCTTGCCGTTAAAGTACCAGGTGTCCTTGTGACACCTGGACCCGGGCCGAGTTTTGGGTATGGTCAGTGAGACTGCTTGGTTTATGGCTTCGAGCATGTCCACATTTTCGGCTTGTGTGGATTCATTGCCTCTCAGACAGAGGCCAAGGCGTTCTGGAACGCCTGCCAGTTGGCCTTGTCTGTTTTCCATCTTGGATTTGGTCGTGGGATTTCGGCTGGCCCTGCATCCATGAGTGTGGTAACCGTGCCGTAATGGTTGCTTGTGACAGTCTCATCGACACACCAGCTAATCCTGTCCACTAGAGTCGCAGTGACCAGGGTGAGCTCTAGTACCCCACCTCTGACATGCGTTGGCTCTTGAGTGTTGAGGAGAGCGATCTCGGGGAACGTCTCAAGCACGTTGGCTATGTGATGGCCGGCCGAATCCGGTGCCCTGCAGGGAGCCAGGATGGGATGATGTGCATTGAAGTCTCCCCCAATGATCACTCGGTCTTGTGCAGCAGACGCACATACCTGGCTGATATATAAGCCACTATAGCCTGGCGTTGTACGCGTTGTACAGTCTGAGGGGCCCCCCGGCCAAGTGGATCTCAACGGCCAGGTGCCTCGTCTCCACAGTGCGGTGCATCGGCTATTGCAGAGCAAGGGAATTATTGCTTTGACAAGGGTGATCAGGCCTCTTTTGACAACCGATTGTGGCAGCATGAAGACGTGATACCCTGAGAAGTGAACAGTGTCCACCGTTAGTGTCTCCTGGAGCATGACAACGTCAATGCTCCTTGATCGCACTACTGCTTGGAGCATGGCATTACTTCTGGAAAAGCCATTTATGTTCCACTATAGGATGCTTAGATTGTGTGCAATGATATTACTAGTTGATAGTTACATCTGAGACGCCGTCACAATTCGACTCTGACAACATCGCGAAGTCCTCTTTGGCTGAGGGTTCTTCGTCTGAAGTCAGGCTATCCGTGGGTCCACTGGGGGGTGGAGAGCCTTTGGTAGCTCTGACTCTTGTAACTTCTCTTGGCTGGCCTTTCCTGGGCAGGGTCAGTGTGCTCTGGCTCTGGCTGTGCAGATTCAGCCTGTTGTGGCTCTGCCTGTGAAGGGCTTGCCTGGGTTGGAGCGGGGAGGGGAGTCTCGTCCTGGGCTGTGGGTGTGGCTAGTTTTGATCCAGCTTTCTGCCTTTCAGGATTGCGACAGTCTTGGTCATTGCCGTTATGGCGACCGTGACTGCCGTCTCCGCCTCTTCCCTTGTCCTCCCCAGGGCTGTTGCCACTGCTGTCACGACAGCAGTCACCAGGAGGGTCATGTCTGCCTCATCAAAGAGATCGTCGTCTCTTGGGGAAGGCTTTGAAGTGTTCTTAGAACCTTTCTTCCTTTGGTTCTTTTTCTGCTTCGGCATGTCCGGAAACTCCGTTGTGTTGGACGCGTCCGGTGTCGGCTGTGGGGCGGCTTCCTTCCTCTTAGGAGGTCGGGAGGCCTTTTCGCTTTTCTTCCTGTCCCAAACATGTGTGCCTGGGGGAGCAAGAATGAAGTCTGCTTCTCAGCAACCTCTTGTCGCTTGAGGGCCGCCTCTTTCCTGACAGAGCAAGTCAGGCTCCAGGCGTGATGCCTCTTAGCACAATTGGGACATTTGACTGTTGTGTCCCTTTTCTCTTCTTTGTAGGCCTTCAGGCACACACCTGTGTTGTGTGCCTTGCTACAGACACCACATCTAAGCTTGGCTGTGCAGCTAGCCTGGTGGTGGCCGTATCTCTAGCACTTGAAACACCGAAGTGGTTCAGGCACGTATGTTCGTAAGTTATAGGTGCCCCAGTTACCCAGATCAAGGGTGGTGGTTGAGGCACCTTTCACTGTCACCAGGACTTGCCTGTTTGGAGTCTTCCCTACTGCCATTCGGGAAGCCTCCATGACCTGAGGATGTGAAATGATTAGCTCCACATTGTACGAGACTGAGAAGCCATCTTGGTTCTCTTCTCCTCGGGAGTTAATGGGGAAAGACTCACTTTTCTCCCATCTTTTAATTCCTTGGTTTCCCGAAGGAAGTTCAGGGTGGCATGATCTTTCGGCATTACGATCATGCCTTGGTCTCTGGCAACCTGGATTGAAAGCCGGATTTGCCTCTGCATCTCCAATGCTCTGACCAACTCTATATATACACCCCCCCCCATATACATATATATATGTATATATATATATGCATATATATATATATATATATATATATATATATATATATATATATATATATATGTATATATATATATATATATATATATATATATATATATATATATATATATATATATATAGTATATATATATGCGTATATGTATATACGCATATATGTATATATGTATATATATGTATATATATTTATACATATATATACTTTATATATATATATATATATATATATATATATATATATATATATATATATATATATAAATAAATATATATGTATATATATATATATATATATATATATATATATATATATATATATATATATATATATATAATATATACATATATATATATATATATATATATATATATATATATATATATATATATATATATATATATATATATATATATATATATATATATATATATATATATATATATATATATATATATATATATATATATAATATATATATATATATATATATATATATATATATATATATATATATATATATATATATATATATATATATATATATAATATATATATATATATATATATATATATATATATATATATATATATATATATATATATATATATATATAT